GTATATATATATATATATATATATATATATATATACAAATACTACATATGTTTGTACTGTAAATTGTATATATAGTGAAGTGATAACATAAAAATAATTTCATCTGGACGATGTTATTGACTTGTTTTCGCTAGACAGCAATCATTAATCACGTTATTACAGAAATGGTTTACTAGCATAAGTTTGTATAACTGTTTGGCCCCTCCATTTATCCTCTGTAAGAGATCCAGCCAGATGATTCATTTTGATTTTGTTTAACATTGTTCCCATACTGCACCTGTAATTAAGTTCTGCAGAGCAAAGCCCACAATTTACTTTTTAGTCTCCCTTAATGGATTACCTAAACAGGGCTTCACTTATTTTAATCACTCAAAGATGACAATGCTATAGCCTGATTAGTTTCACATCAACTTGTTCTATCTCTATGTAGTGGGAAATTATGCTGGCAACGTGTCAAAAAACTGGCAATTGTTTTTAGGTCATATAATATTTATAATCATAATTTTATATATTTTCTTGTCTCTCACAATCTTATATTCAATTTATTAGTAATATCTATTTGTTAAATGTACTAAATTATTAGTAATATTAATAATTATAGGAAATATGTTCAAACCTGAGTAGCAGCATGACATATTTTTACAAATGCAACATTAAAGTGATGCCACATGACAAAAGTATTAAGTAAATAATGAAAGAATGTCAAAGTAACTCGTAGTTTCGTAATATGTGATGTCATTTTTTCATCTTTCATATATCAAGCAAAATTCAAAATGTTTGACACTTGGCTAATGTTTAAATTATTAACACCTGTAGATTTAACATACAAATAGGAATTTTGACAAAATCATGGAGTGATAAGAAACACTGTGTTCAGTAATAATGAAAGCTTGTTATGTCCATTGAAAGACACTGATAATATTAGAGTATAAAAATATAAAATAACATTATCTCTGTCTGTTATTTACAAACTGGAGGCTACTAGTGCTGTAGCTTTTTTTCTATTATTTACTGTTACAGTTTTGGTCATTATATTTATGTTGATCACCGTTTTACTCTACTGCCCTAGTCATTAAATAAATGACAGTTTAAAATCACAGTACATTTACAGTTTTGTTTGAATAACCCAAGACTCTTGACCTCTTCTACTTTTAACAAGTCAGTTCTACTATTTCTAGATACTTCTGTTTATAGTGTTATGCAAGTGTGTGTGTGTATGTTTTATCCAACTAATAATAATGTGAAATGTGAATGATTAAACTTCTATGGAACTGAGTTCTTTGATATGTACTAAGTATGTGTATGTGTTTTTTGTGATATCTGAATGCATACTTTTGATTACGTTTACTATATAGGAAATGTCAGATATTTTCTTACAAAGTTTCATTTAAGTTAAGTAATCAGTTTTAAATGAAAATATTTATAGTGATGTACAACTCCTCTTGCAACATTGACATCTAGTTGAATTTACTGTGATTTATAATGAAAATAAATTACCACTTATCTAGAGCTTTCTGTAAAGGTAAACTTATCACAGGTTGACTTTATTATGAGTTAGAAATTCTGCAGTCTTTAAAACATTTGTTTGTAAACTAAGGTTTTTATCATTTGAGAATGAAAATTTAAAGTGAAGTTTCCCAGATTTCATACTCATTGTGGAATTCACTGTGACGTGTGACTCTTAAAATCTCAATAACATTTGACATCTTTCTCAACTACAACTTGTTACTCCTACCACAGTCTAATAAATGTTCATTTTCTTTTGTATTGCAACAGATTACCCAACCATTTTTTTCTTGTATTTTAAGTGAGGATTAATATAACCTCAGGAGTAACGAGTCACAGTGATTTATGATTCCTAAAGTATAAATAGGTTTTTGTAGCAGTGCTATTATACTTTAATTAAGTTGTAAAGTAGAATAGGTTTTTGTAGCAGTGCTATTATACTTTAATTAAGTTGTAAAGTAGAATAGGTTTTTGTAGCAGTGCTATTATACTTTAATTAAGTTGTAAAGTATAAATAGGTTTTTGTAGCAGTGCTATTATACTTTAATTAAGTTGTAAAGTCAGAATGAATTTTCTCAGTTTCTGTTATCAAAACTGACTTTACAAAGTATACACGAGTTATTAAGTGTAAATAAACTGTAGCTTTCATTCTCATGATAATTCCTCTTTAAGTTATATTAATTTTCACTTAAAATAGAAAAAAAAGAAAGGAAAATATTTCTTTGTATTGAGCTGCACTGTTTAGATGTATCTCTGAAGATAAGGTGGAATTAATTTGTTGGACAAGGTTTTGTTAAAACATTCAAGTATGTATAATAAGCATACAATACTCTTCCTGCTTGATTTTCTTTGTGTTGCTCTCTTATTGTTGTCTTTAAGCACTTCACTTTCATGAAGTACAACAAGGGAATATCTTCCTAATGTATAGGATATCTAGTGTATTTTTATTTTATTCTATGCTATGATTAAATATCAATGATATTTGAAGATAATTGATTTTAATTATCTGCTATTTAATAATATTATATACTTTTTAAAACACATTTGAATTTAATATTATTTTTGTTTTTTATTAATCACTTTTTTATTTATTGCAGTAATTTTACTGATTAAGTTATGAGGTAATGATTTACTACCTAGAATGTGGTTTACCTATTAATTAACCACTGTATTACCTTGAATTTGGTTTACCTATTAATTAACCACTGTATTACCTAGAATGTGGTTTACCTATTAATTAACCACTGTATTACCTAGAATTTGGTTTACCTATTAATTGACCACTGTATTACCTAGAATGTGGTTTACCTATTAATTGACCACTGTATTACCTAGAATGTGGTTTACCTATTAATTGACCACTGTATTACCTAGAATGTGGTTTACCTATTAATTAACCACTGTATTACCTAGAATTTGGTTTACCTATTAATTAACTACTGTATTACCTAGAATGTGGTTTACCTATTAATTAACCACTGTGTTACCTAGAATGTGGTTTACCTATTAATTAACCACTGTATTACCTAGAATGTGGTTTACCTATTAATTAACCACTGTGTTACCTAGAATGTGGTTTACCTATTAATTAACCACTGTATTACCTAGAATGTGGTTTACCTATTAATTAACCACTGTATTAGCTCAAATTGTATTATTTCATCAAAGCCAGTAATCTGTTTATTTAAATCCTCATGATTAGCTTATTAATTACTATTCAATGAAAACTATTAGTTATGATATGTCCCCAGCAAGCTTTCAAAAAATAAAGGCTTTTTCAAAAATAAGTGAACCATAGATATTTGAAAAGTATCTTTAGTTAACATGTTATTTTCTGGTTTATCGTAGTAACTATTGTCTAACCCCATAACTTATGTGCCGTTATGATAACTTGAACTAAAGAGTACTAAAATAGTAATAGACATCATTTTCTAATAAGTTAATTATTTGTAACAAAATTTAACTTATGAAAATAAATATTCTACAAATGTGTCTATAAAACTGTCACACTTCTCTCTTTCTTTTTATTTTAAGTTTAAAGTAATAGAATTAATTGAGCATATTTTTAGTGTAATCTATTTGTATTTGGAAATAGAGTAACTTTTTTGCATGTTACCTTGTGTTAAAAATTAAATTCTTGAGGAAATGAGAAAAAACAAGTAAAATACACATTATAATTTAAAACCTTTAGTACATTAGAAATAGATTTATGGAAGAATCATTTCATTCTTATTCAAGGAAGTATTCTTTTATTTTAAGTTGCAACATACCTATCGATATAAATAAGCTTTTATGAATGATGACCTAATTTCTTCACACAGAAGGCCACACCCTTGTTGTGATTTAAATACTGTGCTAATGGCTTATGACCTTTTCAGTAAATTTCTCTTCTTTTTTTTTAATTCAGTTGTATCATTTTAAGTTGTTTTTTTTGTTTGTGTTTTTGCTGTTATTGAGATGATGTAAAGATAGTCTGTATTTCATGTTGAATTTGATAAATACTAAAAGTTTTTATTTTCCTGTACTTTGATTTACCCTAGTTGGCATTTTACTGAAGTAATCCTATATTTTACTGTGGTCTCATCTTAGTTGCTCTTAACTTGTAAAACCTGCAGTAAAACTCAGTCTAGACTTGTTGAGCAGGTTTAAGCTGACAGTCATCTGAAGTCTACTTAGTTAGTGTATTTATTACCTTCATTTCAAAACATTCAGGTAGTGTGATTTTTTTTTTCTACTGTTCTTTTTAAACATATAATTTCATTCCAAGACAGACATCAAGTTGGATCATTTCAGATTTACTTTCTGACATAAATCATTTCAGCTCTTGCTTTTACTTTTTTGTAAAAACAATGTTTAATGTTTTTAAAACACATAACTAGTTTGTTTGTTTTAATTTATTGGGGAAAATTAAAAAATATTTTATAAAATAATGTGCAGATTTTTATGCAGAAATGATATTGCTTTAGCCAGATAACTATTTTATTTTTTATTGTAGATGTTCATTTGTCCTTTGTTTTTCATGGATTTAGTTTCCAAGCAAAATTGAGTAACCTTTTACTACAGATAATACAAAAAAAAACCTGTTTTAAATAAAAATAAATGTTCAGTTCACAGTACTTTGTAATTTGCAAAATATTGATATAAAGAACTCGTATTTAAAAATAAGGTTTCTTTATATTTTTTTCCCATTAATGCTTTATTTTATTTTCATAAAATCAATGTTGTGCCAAATTTTTCTCCTTGATAGAAAAGCTTCATTGTGGCATTACTAACAAAAAAATAATATTCATGGATAAATAATCTTTTGCTTTCTTTGTAGCATTATTAAAAAAACAATTCATCTGGATAAAGAATCTTTTGCTTTCTTTGTAGCATTATTAAAAATAACAGTATCCATGGATAAAGAATCTTTTACTTCTTTGTAGCATTATTAAAAAAAAACAATATCCATGGATAAAGAATATTTTGCTTTCTTTGTAGCATTATTAAAAAAACAATATCCATGGATAAAGAATCTTTTGCTTCTTTGTAGCATTATTAAAAAAAATAATATCCATGGATAAAGAATCTTTTGCCTCATTGTAGCATTATTAAAAAACAATATCCATGGATAAAGAATCTTTTGCTTTCTTTGTAGCATTATTAAAAAACAATATCCATGAATAAAGAATCTTTTGCTTCTTTGTAGCAGTATTAAAAAAACAATATCTATGGATAAAGAATCAAATCTTTTGCTTTCTTTGTAGCATTATTAAAAAAACAGTGTCCATGGATAAAGAATATTTTGCTTTCTTTGTAGCATTTCTCAAAAAACAATATCCATAGACAAAGAATCTTTTCTTGCAAACAGAGACGATTGTCCCAAGATACTGTTGACTGATTTTATTTTATATTGAGTTAAGCAGTGTTTTAATTTCTTTCAAGAGTGCTTATTGACTGCTTGAATAACTTTGTTTCAAAAGCAATACACAAAATGATGCTTTAATTTAAAAGTAGATAAAAACTTATGAATTTACTGGACAACAGGACTTGAAAAATAAAGGAAAATTATTATTTTTGGATGATTCTTACGAGATACTGATGAATCATAACAGTTTGGATGATACTGAATACTGTCCTAATAAATGGATATAAAGAGATGTCAGACAAATTTTATTTCTCTGCAGTTACTATATCAAAAATTAGTTGTTTATAGAACTACTAGAAAATCTAAGACAATGATATCCCTGCCCAAAAAGTAAAAACTAAGTATAACAACAGATCTAATTTTATTATATTTCTAGCAATCTTATGTTTGAACATAAATGTATGTGCATTTGTATTTTTAGCATTGTTTTATTGTAAGGGACATTTTTGTTTTGTCTAGTATTCCAGTTCTGTGGATCAAGGTTATGTCATAAGATAGCTATAATTTTATTTATTTAAAGAAAGTGATGGCAGTAACCATTCTGAAATACACTTGTTTAAAGTGTCTGAGCAATCACTATGCAGAACAAATGTATAAAAAGTCCAAATAATTAATATATCCAAGCTATATAATATAGTTATATTTTTGGATTGTTAAAAAATTATATTTACCCATTATTTATTTATAGATTTATGTCTATTAGCTGTTATTAAGATAATAACTTCAATGCAATCGATGGGCAGTGCTATTTTAATCTTCATTGGGTTCTCTCAATTGCATTTACAGATTTCACTAAGATTAAAAATACTTTCATTAAGCTCTTGTTGATAGGTTTGAGGATTAATATTTTATTAACTAGAAACTTCTAAAACTGGTGATAAAAACTTCTGGAACTTATGTAGTTTCTTTTGTTAGAAGTACAACAATGATGATATTTATTATATAGACAAAAAAAATTTTAAGGATTATTCATCTAAAAATGATGGCTTTCATAGACATCAAATAATATCTATATAGCATCAATTTAGTGTTTTAAGTAACTAATCGATGTTGGTTTATTTCAGGAGTCCCTGTTTATATGGCATAGTACTTGTCTTTGTACTCTGAAGAAGGTAACTATGTAGCATCAACTCCATCTTTTAAGTAATTAACCAGTTTCATAATTTGTTTCAGTAGTCCCGGTTGACATGGCAAAGTACATGCCTTTATACTCTGAAGAAGGTAATCTAGAACCATCCGATCTTCGTCAGCGCCACCCTAGTGATAACTCGAGCACATCCCATGATGGTAGTCAGAGTATCCATAGTGGACGATCAGGAAAAGAACTGTTAGGATCATCTCCTTTCACACGAGCACCAGCAGAAGACAGGTCAAAGTATGAAAAACTATTAAATTTTGAAGATGGAGAAGATGATCAGAAGGCAGAACCTTGTGTGAACAAAAAATATGACCAAGAAGATAATGATTCTATTGGATCAGCAAGTGATCTCAGAGCACAAGAAGATTCAAGTGGAGAAGAAGAAGGTTCATCCGAGACCTCGCTTGATGGTCATTTAAAAAGAGAAAAATTCTCACTAAAAATCTCAGGAGATGCTATTAAACCTACATCAGAAATCCTGACAGAATTAGAAAAAAAACAAGAAGGAGAAGTAGAATGTCTTCCTTACCAAGATGTCTTCATGGGTCATACAGATGGAGATAAACCACTTCTAGAAGATGATGAACTCTCTGATAATGAACAGAAAGTTGTAACAACCACTCCTAGGAATGAATTAAAATTGGGTTTAATTGTCAAAACAAGTGGGGAGATGTTTACTTCATCATCATCTCCATCACTGGAAAAGGGAAAAAATAAAGATACTTTTAGTGCAGCTCAACTTAGAAAAGTCCCAAGTGCAGCTTCACCAGAAACATATGTAGTTAGTGGTGACCATCCTGAAGGAGTGGATGTTTTTGCATTGGCTCCTTTCAGGAAGCCATCAACAAAAGGAAAACCACAGAATTGGAAAATGCAAAAGAAACTGCCAAAAGACAGCCACTTAACCGGTGTTGAAGCGATAGGAGGTTCACCCACATTTGAGTCTTCCAAAGAATTAGAAACCAGAGCAAACCCAAACCCACAGAGTTCTGAATTTCCTAATATGAACAATTACAAGCCTTCACATTCATCTACTAGCCAACATAAACCTATTTTCTGTAGTAGTAGCTCACCAGAAAAGCTTGGGTCTTTAAGTGAAAGTACTGACTTATTTGGATCTGCTCCATTCCGTAGTATGCCTAGGATAGATACAAAGGAGATTACTTCCATACAGGGTGATTATATTAATCAACAAGAGAAACAAACTTTCATTACCAAGCAGCCTCTAAACCAACCGGGATTTGTAACTTCGGTACATATTGCTCCACTCATACATGATTCCCCCAATATTGGAACATTAAAATCTGCATGTCCAAAAATGACCATGGGTCAGACATCTAGTTTGATTACTAAAAATTCTGTTAGTGATCAACAAAGCGAAAATGTTATTGGTGCTGTAGCTATTAATTCAGTTGGAAGCACTTTTCCCCCCATTAAAGAAGTTGCACCACATCCTAGGAAAAAGGTTAGTCTTCCAGCCATATATGGCACTTCTTCTGTGAACAGGATTGACAGCTTGACTCGTGGAAGTAGTTCACCACCCTTAAGTTCTGATACCGATGATGAGGAGGAGATGACACCAAGAAAATCAAAGAAAGAAAGAAATAGATATCACTCCTTTAAGGAACAGGACGTACTGGCAGAGGAAGTAAGTTTTGCTGTTCCTCCCACAAAGCATTATCATGTGTCAGGTAAAGCTGGGAAGAAGACCAAACAATCCAAGAAAAGGGAAAACAGAATTAGCAATGCTTTTGCAAATATGAGTTTTGAAGACATTGGTAGTGAAGAGGATAACAGTTTCAAAACTGTGAATACATCTTTTATGGGAGAGCCTGTTATTAAAAAAAGTGGTTTTCAAGCAAACACAAGGCCCCTGAGAATGGCAAAGGTAAATAAATAACACTGGTGATTTTATAACCTGGGTAATCTGCTGAAATAGATCTTTCTCTTTATACAGTTTCTAGCAGATCAGGTGTAGCAATTGATTAAATATACGATTTTGGCATTTGCAAACTGTTGGTGATCATGATATTAATAATGTTATTAATATTATTATAGAAATAAATTATTCAAAGGTGTATAGATTATATAGTTCTATTACAAAACTTTGTAGATTTTTATGTTGCTGAGCAACGGTAGATCTGTCACCAGAACGAGAACTGCAACTGAAGACCATGGTTTATATTTAACTCTGCAGCTAGGATGTAAGATTTCACTGTATTTATAGATATATACATATAAATATCACTGCGAGGCTGTAGCCTAGCTAGTTGCTGGGAAATAAATTATATTCTTGCACTAATATTTCCTTGTATTTCTTTAACTAGTGTTGAAGTCACATATTAACTTTGTAATTTGTATTACGTTTACACACACGGAAAGTCCGACAATCTATTGATCGAAATTATACAAGTTTTTTAATAAAAATTACATTTAGAGTAGTTATTATATATACGAACGCATGTTAAAAGTAGATCCAGGATTCAAGCTTTTAAGACAATTTTATCACCATATTCAGTTGTTTAGCGTGTACTCGCATTATTCAAAAATGTAACCTTATGTTTGTTTTTGCTTTCATTTAGCTCAATCGAATTCAAAGATAAGATACTACTTAACAATAGCAATTACGATACTAGCTTGCACACATACAAGGTAGCACGTTTAACATTTATTTACACTATGTGAGACATTGAAAACCGATAGCATGAAAAGTGACAGTTGATCAATCAAGTTACGAAAACAATTTCTTATTACACAGTGACGTGGTTAAAATTTTATAAGGGTTTCTGATGAATAAAATATCTTCGTGAATCTTACTTATAAGACTGTGGCTCCATCGTGTGTTTTTTAGCCTTTCTTCAGGCCTGATACCGTAATTCTGATAATGTTCTGAAGAGATAAAGGAGATAAAATCAATATACATTTTAACGTTTTGACAGTTGGATGTCTTTTCTGGGTTTCTAGATAAAATATAAGGTTTGGTGGTTAGGGCTCTTGCAAGACTTGGGTCGCATGATCGAAACCTGGCGCTTTCAAAACAGAGGGCGTTATAATGGTACGATAAATTCTACAACTCGTTGATAAAGATTAGCTCAAGAGTTGGCAGTGGGTATTTCTGGGCAATTATATTTCATGTAATGGGCGGTTCAAAATTGGAAACGGCGTCAGATAGACTTCGCAACTTTGCCACAGACAAACAAATTAGATAGGGTTTGATTAAAAATTGTGTTTTATGTTGTAAACTCTGTTATTGATAGCTTTCATTTTTGCTTTTTATAATTTCTTCATTCTTGTGCTGCAAGATAAATAATACCAATAAAAACATTCGCTTCCTTATTTATTAGTACACGACAGCTAAAAGAACAAGGTATCTAAATCTTTAAATAAATTTATATTTCCACGTATCTAGCCAATAATTTATGTCATCATATACAGTAATTGGAAGCATTGCATATGCAATTTAATTAACATGAGTAAAATACTTAATCTTTTTTTTAAAAAAAAGGTGTAAGAGATGAATACGTAACAGTATAATATGTGTACAAAATTACTGTACTCACGGTAAGGCAATCACTGATGATCATGTCCTTTAGCCAATCAGGAAATGTCACAGACCTACTGAAGGATGTGTAGATTGTATAGGAATTATTTTTGGCGGCAAAGGACAGGTTTATGTGTTTTAAAAAGTTCTACCACCAAAATATGAATCGGCGATTGGCCAGCATTTACTAGT